CACCCACTGACTGCTGAGCGTCATCCCTCTAATTTTTAAAAATCTATCAGTCTCAAGGCTGAGACTGAAAGATTTTTAAAAAACAGAGTGAATAGCGGATATGTGGATAGGGCAGGTAATTAGAGTTAAGTCTGAAGATCAGCCATGATCTTATTGAATGGTGGGGCAGGCTCGAGGGGCCGAATGGCCTACTCCTGCTCCTAATTCTTATGTTCTTATGTTCTTATTGCTCAGTTCCTGGTGGCTGATTGTCAGCGCGTGAGATGCCGAGTCAGCACATTGAGCCAGCGCTCAAACGCTAGAAAGATAATAATCCTTGCATTTGATATGGCACCTTATCACATCTTCGAGGCGTCTCAAAGCATTTCACCGAATATACTGTAAAGTAAATTGACTGCATATTTTGTGGGTGAAACGCGGCAGCCAATTGGGCCCAGCAGTGGCCAACAAACAGTCGTGGTTTGAAGTGACCAAGTTTCTTTTTTAAGGGATTATGACTAACAACTTGGTTCCTACTTACTACTGGATAAACAGAGGCACGTGGAGTAAGGAAACCTGCCCAACGTTTCACTCTGCCTGGGAATCGAACCCAGGTCCTCTCACTTATGAGGTGAGCGCTCTAACAATTGAGCTACAGGACTCCAAAAGATAATCGTCTGATGGGGGGCACTGAGCAGGCCTGAAATTCCATCTAATCTTTTTTCTTTCCATCCCACCGGTATGCGACATGCGACAGGAAACCTGTCTCTGTACTTAAAAGTCTCTTAAGTGTGTGTTTGATATGGCAACTGTCTCAAAGCTCTTTGCAGGATTCACTGTAAAGTGTCGTGAGTGAAGTGTAAAATAAATTTAAAAAATTATGATGTGTTCACTCAATCCATGACTGTTTGTGGGACACGACTGTGTGCAATTGGCTGCCACATTTTGCCCAGAAAATAAACAATATCTTTTTTAATATATGTTGTGCTCTCTCGAGGACATGATCAGGCACTATATCAAATGAAAGGATTATTATGTTATTATTAATGCTCAGTAAATGTTTGGTATCATTCCAGATAATGAAAATTATCTCATTCCAGATAAGGAAAATCGGACCACTCATGTATAGAAGCGTCAGCAAAGGGATCAGCTGTACAAAAAGCAAAGGGCGCTGCGCGATTATTGCAGTGTTGTGTGTAAAAATAAAACTACCACTACCTGAATTTGCCCCCTAAACTTCATGCAGGATAACAACAACAACTTGCACTTATATAGAGTCCTCCACACAGGGTAGCATCTCAGAATCTTAACAGTGGCAGGCGGAGTCTGAATCCGAGCCGGTGGTTGGGGATGGGGAGAAGGTGGCCGTAAGCACGGTCGAAAAGGAAGGTTTTCAGGTGGGACTTGAATAAGAGGAGATAGGGGCAAGGCGAAAGGATTGAGGGAGTGTGTTCCAGAGCTTCGGGGTGTAGTGGCTGAAAGCGCAACCTCCAATGGTGGGGTGGAGGGTGCAAGGGACAAGCAGGAGGCTCGTGCCATTCGAGCAGAGATGCCAGGTGGTGGATTGGGGTGTGAGGATGTCAGAGAGGTAGGGAGGTGCCAGGGAGTGAATGGATTTGAACAAGAGTGTGAAGATCTTGAAGTCGATCCATTCGGTGATGGGGAGCCAGTGGAGCCTGGGCAGAACTGGTGACGTGGGTACAGAGTTTAGTCCGGGTAAGTATGTGGGCAGCAGAGTTCTGAATGAGGTGGATCTTTTGAAAAGTGGAGCTGAGGAGAACGGCTAGGAGTGAGTTTGAGTAATCCAAGTGGGAAGTGAGAACCGCATACACCAGGGCTTCGGCTGCATTTTGGTTAAGGTGCGGTTGGAGATGGGCAATTTTGCAGAGGTTGAGGAAGATGGTCCTGGTCAGGGACCGGATGTGGGGAAGGAAGGACACCTGTGGATCGAACCGGATGCCTAGTTTGTACACTGGTTCGATGAGGCTGAGGGAGGTTGAGGAGTTCAGATCCGCAGGAGTGAAGACGTTGACGGGAGACAAAGAGCCTTGTCCACATTCAGCTGCAGGAAGTTTATACTCATCCTGATGTCTGATGGCCCTGATGTCTGCCAGACGAGCTGATAGAACATCGGCGGACCTGGAATCATTAACGTCATAACATCTCAGAACACTGCACAGTGATGGCATTGAGGTTTTGAGTGAAAGGAGGAGAGGGAGGTGACCATAGGTGCAGATTTAATAATGGATAGGGAGGGGTGAAGATGGCGGGAGGGAATTCCAGAGGTTAGGGGTACAGTGGTTAAAGGCTTGGTCTCTGATGATGAGGTGGACAGGGGTCAACAACAACGACTGCAACAAATTCCATTTATATAAGCACCATTCACATCGGGAGGATGTCCCAAGGTGTTGAACAGTGAAGGATTTGCCCGAGCTGGGGATGGAATCAAGAGGCATGAAGACCTTGAGATGGGCCACAAAGGAGGAAAGGGAGAGGGTGAGGTGGAGTGGCTCTGCGATGGGGAGGTGAGAGCAGAAAGACTAAAGTCCCGACCAACGATGGTGGAGCAGGCAGGGCAGGTGTTGTGAAGCAAGTGAGTGCCAACCATGTGGAGGGTGCGGACACATTGGTAAAGATTTCACAGGTCACAGAGGTAGGGAGGAGCAAGACCATGGAGGGCTTTAAGAATGAGGAGAAGGATCTTGAACTCGGTCCTCTGGGGGATGGGGAGCTCTCATCCAGGACTTGATGTCTGGCAGACAGTCTGTCAGGACAGCAGTGGTCCTGGAGTCGAGGGTGGAGGCAGAGCGATACATGTGGAAGTTGACCCCATGTCTGCGGATGGTGTCACCAAGAGGGAGCATGTAGAAAGGATAAGACCAAGGACAGAGCCCTGGGGAATGCTGTATATAATGGTGCGAGGGCTGGAGGAGAAGCCATTGGTAGATGTAAAGGGGAGTCGATGGGAAAGGTAAAAACAACAACAACAAAATGACATTTATAGAGTGCCTTTTGCGTCGGGAGGACGTCCTCCCAAAGTGAAAGGCGCTCTATTAATGTTATTTTGTTGTTGTTGTAAGAACAAAACCAGGCAGAGAAAGAACCATGAAGGTGGAGCTGAGAGATGAGTTGATAAAGAAGAATAGAGTGGTGAAAGGCAGCTGAGAGATCAAAAAGAATGAGAAGACAGAGAGAGCCCTAATCACAAATGGACACAATGTCATTTGTAACTTTGACCAAGGCTGTCTCTTTACAAGAGATAGGACGGAAACCAAATGGAGTGGTTCAAGGAGCAAGTGGTGGGAGAGGAAAAACCTAAACTGGGAAGCAACGACTGATTCCAGGATAACTGGTCACTCTAAGGAAAAAGAGCTCAGTGACAAGTCACCAGGACCGACAAGTTAGGCATATATATAAGTACATAATAAATGAGGCCAGGAGATTGACCCTGGCTTAGTTTAACTTGTCGTGACAAGTTAAGTGAGGGTCAAGTTATTAGGAGTTTACAGTATTTTGTCTTGTAATGGAATGCATTTTCTCTCCCACCAAAGGCAAGCATCCAATCCCAGAAATTATAGGCCGCAGATTGGCAGAAAGCCCTAGATGTGTGTTTGTGGGTGTGACAGCTGGAGTTTAACTGGTTAATACAGTTTACCATTGAGAGCACTGCCTGTCAAGCTTCTCACCGGTTGTCCAGCTTGGACCACGCTACCGTTTAGGGCTTTGGCTTGAAGGTTTAACGGGAGCTGAGTTTGAATAATAATAAAAATAATAATTCTCACATTTAATGCAGCACCTTTCATGTCGGGAGGACATCTCAAAGCACTGCATAGGATTCATTTACTGTAAGTTGTAGTGTCTGTGTATTTTGTAGTCGAACACCGCAGCTAATTTGGCACAGCAATGTCTGACAAAAAAATTTGACATGAATGTTGAATTTAACCAGGTGGGTGGCAGGGGGAATTGTTGGCTAGGACACCAGGAGTAACTCCCTTCTATATTTGTTTGATACCATCTTAGTCTAGATCCCTCCAAAGGAAAATTAGTCACTCAATCCAGGACATTGCTGTGCTCAATTGGCTTCCAATTTTCACCCACAAAATACACAGGCAATTTACTTTACAGTGTACTTTGTGAAGGGCTTTGTAACGTCTCAACGACTTGATAAGGAGCTATATCAAACGCAAGGATTATTATTCTATTCAAATTATTATTCTTTCAAATTCCCAAAGTGGGGTTGGAGCACACAACTTTCTTACTCAGAGGTGAGAGTGCTGCCGATTAAGCCAAGCTTACAACTGAGGGGTTGAGCAAAGGGAGAGGGAGGCCAGAAAGTGAATTAAAACCAAATAGGCTCAAACACTACCCCACATGAAGGATGTTATATAAGTACAAATTGTTGTTGTCAATGCTTTTTTCAAAAATTGCCACCTCTATTCCTCTGGGACAATTTTTCTCTTCACAGAATTCTGTGGGATTATAACCTGAACCATTGTTATGTCTCCATTATAACAACAACTTGCCCTTATTTACAGCCCTTCACTCAGGTAGCATCTTGGGAGCACTTATACAATCAGGAATTGATGATTTCTCCATTAACAGATCGCCTGACTATCGTAGTATCACATTCTTTGTCAGTAATAATAAAATGATAATAATTCTCCCACCTGATACAGCTCCTTGTCATGTTGTCAAGACGTCTCAAAGTGCTTCACAGGATTTATGGAAAATCGCACGGGCGGTGTATTTTCTAGGCAAATCACAGCAGCTAATGATCACACAGCATGCATGCCTGTTTGTCCCACAATTGATTTTATCTGGGGGAGTTGCCAGCCAGGACACAAGGAGAAATCCTTTCTCTTTTCAAATACCTACACGCCTACCCTGTAACTCTTCCTTCCAGAGTTGCACTCTCGTCCTCACTATCAAATCCCTCCAAGACCACGATGGGCTGTTTGACCTTGTTCGGTGCTGTGAACTTGCATTCACAGCAAGGGAGCCACATGACAGTTTCTCATTTGAATGTTCGATGTCAACACAGAAAACTTTTGGTGTCCAAAGTCCTGGCTCACTCCACTCAGCTATTGCACCGTCTCCTGAGACTCACTGTGGTAAGAGATGTTTGCACAGTGCATGTATATAACAATCAAGTCCAAACCAGGTGGTTAATGTGTGTGTGTGTGTGTATGGGGGGGGAGGGGGGGTGGGGGGGAGTGTGCGGGGTGTGTAAAATGTCTCTCAGTAAAGTGACATTTCTTATCCTGGAAATCAGAGATCTGTTTGGTTGGGGGAGAGAGAGAGAAATCCCACTGTCATTTACATTCAAGTGATTGACAACTCGATTGACAGTTGGAGTGATAATTCCTATGCTGCTTGTCACAAATTTTGGTAAACAATGTTAAACTAAGCCAGGCTCAATTGAATTGGAAGGTTTCAGGTTTGAGCCCAAACTTCAGGACTTAGAACTCCCAGGCTAGGCTGACACTCCAATGCAATATTGGGACTGCGTTATATCTGCTAATGACCGACAGTGTATCCTGTGAAGTGCTTTGAAACATCTCAACGACATGATAAGGCGCTATATCAAATGCAAGGATTATTATTGTTATATATCTATATTTATGGTGAAAAGGGTGTTGTTTGCACCCTCATTCCTCCTCGCAGGGACTTTGAGATGAGATACACAACCACTCGTGGGGCTTTGGCCAATGTCTCCTTCGAACGAGTCCTTTTCTCTGGCTTTGCACCGGACGGTGGCCTTTACATGCCTGAAAATATCCCGAGGCTGGAGCCGGAGACCCTGAGGGAGTGGAGTGGCTTCTCGTACCCTCGGCTGGTGAAGGAGATCTGTGCCCTGTACATCTCCAGAGAGGAACTGTCGAGAGCATGTATAGATGGTAAACTATCTGGAAATCTCACCCTGAGCTGGAATAATGGCATCTGTCTGTTCTCTTCAGGCTGCACTATTCACTAGCGCTCTTGTCTCTGAGTCTGAAAGTTGTGGGTTTGATGCCCACATCAGCATTTTGGCTCTGGAACATTACGCCTCGCACCCCCAACTCCCGCCCCTCCCACCACCCCACATTCTTAAAGTCTTAGCTCTTCAACCACACCCTTCAATTACTCTTTCCCCTGCCTCCCCCTCCACACCTGGCACTATGAAACTCTCCGAGATGTTATGAACGAGTTGTCGCCTCCCAGCTGCGCACTTTCCTCTCCAACCATTCACTATTCGAACCCTTTCAGTCGGGTTTCCGTGCTGCCCATAGCACAGAAACTGCCCTGGTCAAGGTCACCAAGGACATCCTGACCATCTGTGAACAGGGCTCCCTCTGCCTCCTCGTCCTCCTCGACCTATCGACAGCATTCGATATGGTCGACCACGCTATCCTCCTCCACTGCTTGTCCTCCCACCTCAACCTTCAAGACCCTGTCCTTGAGTGGTTTAGGTCATACCTCTCCCACCGTCTTCACTTTGTTTCCACGAATGGTTTTTCCTCCGGCCCCCGCACTGTCTCGTGCGGTGACCCTCAGGGCTCTGTCCTTGGTCCCCTCCTCTTCACCCTCTATATGCTCCCCCTCGGTGACATCATCTGCAGACATGGGGTTAACTTCCACATGTATGCGGATGACACCCAACTCTACCTTTCCTCCTCTACCCTCAACTCCACGACCACCGATGTCCTGACAGACTGCCTGTCCGACATCGAGTCCTGGATGAGAGATAACTTTCTCCAGCTCAACGTGCGCAAAACTGAGGCCCTCCTGATTGGCTCACGTCAGCGCCTCCGCACCTCAGGCGCTGACAGCATCAGCATCCAAGGCTGCACTCTCCACCTCTCAAAGTCAGTCAGGAACCTCGGGGTTCTGTTCGACCCTGAGCTGTCCTTTCTCCCTCATATCCGCGCCACAACTGGCACCGCCTTCCATCACCTCCGGAACGTCGCCAGACTACGGCACTACCTCACCCCTCACGCTGCTGAAACTCTGGTCCACGCCTTTATCATCTCAAGGCTGGACTATGGGAACTCTCTCCTCGCCGGCCTTCCCGGCACCTCCCTCCACAAGCTGCAGGTCATTCAGAACTCTGCAGCTCGTGTACTGTCCCGCACCAGGACCACATCACTCCCACCCTCGCTCGCCTCCACTGGTTCCCCATCCCCCAGAGGATCGAATTCAAGATCCTCATCCTCACCTACAAGGCCATTCACGGCCTCGCTCCCTCCTACCTCTCCGACCTACTATCCCCCTACCTACCTGCCCGTACCCTCTGTTCCTCTGGCTCGGGTCTGCTCCACATCCCCCGCCCCAACCGCCCTACCATCGGTGGCCGGGCCTTCAGCCTCTCAGCCCCGAGGCTCTGGAACTCTATCCCCCAGTGCCTTCGCCGCCTCCTCCCTTTCCTCCTTCAAGGCCGGTCTCAAGACCTTTCACTTTGACCGTGCCTTCAGCTCCCCTCTCAACTCTCTACCCCCTCCTCGCTCCCTCCCTTCCCTCCCCTCACCCTGACCATTTCCCCCCTGCTCGGGTCCTGACCCAACTGTACAGCGCCTTGGGATGTCCTCCCGACGTGAAAGGCGCTCAATAAATGGAATCTTGTTGTTGTTGTTGTTATATAAAACTAAGTTGTTGTTGTCAACTAGGCTGACAGTCAAATACAGTGCTGCGGGGTTTAATGGGTAGGGGGAACGCTATATTTTCATGGAATTTTATCCTTTGGATGAGACGTTAAACCAAGGTGCCACCTGTCCGTTCAGGCAGCACTATTCCAAAACAGAAGGGAGTTTCTCTCTCCCAGTGACTTGGCCAACATGACCCCAGATAAAATCAGTCACTCACTTCATGGCTATTTTTGGGATGTTGCTCTGTGCAAATTGGCCGCCATATTTGCCTACAAGGTACGCAGTCACTACACTTCATAGTAAATACTCCTCCTGACGTGCAATGTGCTGTATCAAATGTACGCTTATTACTATTCATTATTATTAATGTGTAGTGTAGTGGTTAGAGCACTCGCCTCACAAGTGAGAGGACCTGGGTTCGATTCCCAGGCGGGGCGAAACCTTAGTCAAGTTCTTTACTCAACACACTGTGCACAATTGACTTCCACGTTTGCCCACAATATATACAGTCAATCCACTTTACAGTAAATCCTGTGAAGCGCTTTGAGACGTCTCAATGACTCAATAATGTAAGAATTATTAGTATAATTACTCTATTCTCTCTCAGACCTGATTGACGCTGCCTTCAGCCGGTTCCCCCAGGAGGAGGTGGTGAGCATGGCGAGGCTGGGGGCTGGCCTGAACGTGCTGGAGCTGTGGTATGGTATCACCCACACATTCAAGGACCTTGCCATGTCCTGTGTGGCTCAGCTACTCCAGCACTTCCTCAGCAAGAAGAACCAGCATGTCACAGTGCTCGTGGGTATGTATGTCCAAACACTCCGGGACTCTGCCCTGTGTGAAGGGCAATTGGTAAATGCTAGTGTTGTTGGTGGAGGTGTCTATCATGGTGGGTGTCTGTCTGTCTGTCTGTCTGTCTGTCTGTCTGTCTGTCTGTCTGTCTGTCTGTCTGTCTGTCTGTCTGTCTGTCTGTCTGTCTGTCTGTCTGTCTGTCTGTCTGTCTGTCTGTCTGTCTGTCTGTCTGTCTGTCTGGGTGTCTGGGTGTCTGTCTGTCTGTCTGTCTGTCAGGATGCCTGTCAGGGTGTCTGTCTGTCAATTGTCTGTCGGGGTATGGACTAAAACCTACAACTTTCTGACAAGGTGCAGACGGTTGTTGGTGACTGACAGTAGTTGTTGGCTGTTGAGGACTATTGTTGGTGACTGACATTGTCCGGCCTGTATTACAGGGACATCGGGAGACACGGGGAGCTCAGCTATCGAGAGCGTGCGGGGGGTGAAGGCCATCGATATTGTGGTGCTGTTTCCGCGAGGACTCTGCTCCAAGATCCAGGAGCAACAGATGACCACAGTCATCGAGGACAACGTGTACATATTTGCAGGTCTGATACCCCTTGTCCCTCTGCTCTCTCCTCACATTAGGAACATAGGAACAGGAGGCCATTCAGCCCCTCAAGGCTGTTACGCCATTCTATAAGATCATGGCTGATATGTACCTCAAATCTAATTACCCCCCCTTGCCTCATATCCTTGATACCCTGATATAACAAATATCTATCCACCTCAATCTTGAAATGTGAATGGATCCAACATCCACAGCCTTTTGGGGGAGAGAGATCCAGATTTCCAAACCCTTTGTATGAAAAACTGCCTCCTGATTTCACTCCTAAATGGCCGAGCTCTAATGTTAAGATTATACCCCCTTGTTCTGGATTCTCCCACCAGAGGAAATAGTTTCTCTGTATCTACCCTATCAACTTCCTTTATTATTTTAAACATATAATAATCCCTCCAAAACCAAAAACAATAATAAATTGGTCATTTTCAATCTGCGACTGTTTGTGGGACATTGCTGTGCGCAATTGGCTGCCGCGTTCGCCCACAAATATACAGTCAATTCACTTTACAGTGTATTCTGTGAAGCGCTTTGGGATGTCCTTCCGACGTGAAAAGCGCTATATTAAATGCAAGGATTATTATTATTATTATTATAACATCTCAATCGGATCATCCCGAGGTTTTGTTCACTGTTCTTCCACCCAAAGACAATACTAACGTGTGATCACCAGAGGGCGTACTCCACTTTGCAAACACCATTTGCGCCACCTGGTGGCAAGAACCTGTACCATCACCGCCTCCTCACCTTAGTCTCCTCTCCTCGATCGAATGTTCTGACTCTCCACAACACACCTTTATGATTTTGCAACCCTTTTGGTCATCTTTCCACTTCCCCATCCTATCAATGTGTGTCAGCCTGGCGCAGTGGTAGCACTCTTGCCTCTGAGTCAGACGTTTGTGGGTTCACGCTTCCATGTCGGGACTCATAGTCTAAACTGAGACTTCAATAATAATAATAATCCTTGCATTTGATATGGCGCCTTATCAAGTCTTCAAGAAGTCTTAAAGCCCTTTACAGAATATACTGTAAACTAACCTGACTGTAAATTTTGTGGGCGAAACGTAGTGGCCAATTGCCCACAGCAGCATCCCACAAACAGTCGTGGATTGAGTGAACAATTTTTTTGAAGAGAATATTAACTCTGAAAAGCAATCCGCCAATTGACTAACAACCGGGTTCCTACTTGCTAAGTTTTCACCCCAGCCAGGAATTGAACCCAGGTCCTCTCACTTGTAAGGAGAGTGCTCAAATCAGTAAGCTACAGGACTTTGACCCACTCTCACAGAATCATGGAAACATAGGAACAGGAGTTCTTTGATTGGCGAGACGTGACAAGTGGTGTTCCCCAGGTGTTTGTACTGGAGCTTCAGCTTTTCACCGTATAGATATATATAATATATATATATATGGACTTGGATGAAGGAATAGAGGGTTTTATATCCAAAGTTAGCAGGCACAATAAATTGTGTACAACAACAACAACAAGATTACATTTGTATAGCGCCTTTCACGTCGGGAGGACGTTCCAAGGCACTGGACAGTGTGCAGCATTTCAACCCGAGCTGGGGTCAGAGGGGAGAAGGGAGGGGAGGGGATGGGGGGTGGCCGATGGCATGGTCGAAGAGGAGGGTTTTGAGGCGGGACTTGAAGGAGGCTAAGGAGGGGGTGAGGCGGGGTGATTGAGGGATGGAATTCCAGAGGTTGGGGGCAGAGTGGCTGAAGGCTCTCCGTCCAATGGTGGGGCGGGTGGGTCGGGGGGCATGGAACAGACTGGAGCCGGCTGAGCGGAGGGAGTGGGCGGGTTGGTAGGGGGTTAGGAGGTCACAGAAGTAGGGTGGGTCGAGACCATTGAGGGCTTTGTAGGTGAGGATCAGGATCTTGAACTTGATCTTGATCTTGTGCAGATGGGAGCAGGAAGATACAAAGGGATTTAGATAGATTAAATGAGTGGGCAAAATCGTGGCAGATGGCATTCAATGTGGGTAAGTGTGAGGTCATCCACCATGGATCCAAAAATAGCAAAAAATAATAGTTTCTAAATGCTGAGAAACTAAATACTGTGGAGGAGCAAAAGGGATTTGGGTGTCAATGTACACAAATCACTAAAAGCAAGCTCACAAGTACAAAAAGTTATCAAAAAGGCTAATGGGATGTTGGTCTTTATCTCAAGGGGCTGGAATATAAAGGAGAGAAAATAATGCATCTACTATATAGAATCCTTGGTCAGACCCCATCTGGAGAATTGCGTTCAGTTTTGGGCACCACACTTCAGGAAGGATATATTAGCTCTGGAGTGGGTGCAGCGCTGATTCACAAGAATAATGTTAAATTATGAGGACATGTTGCATAAACTTGGTCTCTATTCCCTTGAATTCAGAAAGTTGAGGGGTGATCTAATTGAGGTTTTTGGAATTATAAAGTAATTTGAAAGGGTAGATACAGAGAAACTATTTCCTCTGGTGGGGAATCTAGAATAAAGGTCGTAATCTTAAATTAGAGCTCGGCTATTTAGGAATGAAATCAGGAGGCAGTTTTTCACCCAAAGAGTAGTGGGAATCTGGAACTCTCTCCCCCAAAAGGCTGCCAATGTTGGATCCATTCACTTTTCAAGACTGAGGTGGATAGATATTTGTTAGGTCAGGGTATTAAGGGATATGGGGTAATAATCCCTCCAAAAACTAAAAACAATAATAAATTGGTCATTTTCAATCTACGACTGTTTGTGGGACATTGCTGTGCGCAATTGGCTGCCGCATTCGCCCACAAATATACAGTCAATTCATTTTACAGTGTGTTCTGTGAAGCGCTTTGGGACGTCCTCCAGACGTGAAAAGCGCTATATCAAATGCAAGGATTATTATTATTATTAAGAGCGGGTAATTGACTTTGAGGTACAGATCAGCCATGATCTTATAGAATGGGGGAACTGGCTCGAGGTCATTCAGCCCCTCAAGCCTGCTCCACCATTCTTTTAGATCATGGCTGATCTCCTCCTCCTACCCCTCCTCTTCTCCACCAGTTGACGGCACAGCTGATGAGCTGGACGTGCCAATCCGGAAGCTTTTTGCCGACGAGAAGTTTGTCTGGAGCCACCGGCTCATCAGCCTGAACTCCATCAACTGGGCTCGCGTCATGGTCCAGATCGCTCACTTCTTTTACGCCTACTTCCACTGCCTGCCAGTGGTGGTGGGCGTTCCACAGTCCCCCTTGGTGGAGGTCGTTGTGCCAACCGGCGGAGCCGGCAACATTACAGGTAAGGGAGGGGTGGGTCACATCACCCGGGAGTTGGGGGCGAATAGAGAATAGGGGGCTTTCTCCAACAGAGCAGAGGGCCAGGATGGAGATGTTGAATAAGCATGAGTGGAGTAGTTGGGGAGGGGAGTATTTCTTTAGTTGGATCAATTGTACAATGGGGGGAGCACAGTATCAGGATGGTTAGATGGAGAATACAGGAGAAGGAATAATGATATTAATCTACATTTTGTATTTGTTATTTTGATATATCACCTTTCATGTCTCAAACGCTTCAATTTTGGGGGGTCGGCCGGGTGTCTGACACGTGGAAACCCATCTCTATGCTTAAGAGAATCCAAATCAAGCTGAGAACTCCATGGCATCCCACCTACACATGGAAATCCCAGAGATAGATTGTTGGAATGGAATGGGCTCTCTCCCTGGGGAATGCAACAAGTATTAGGCACAGATTGGCAAGAGCTAAGGCTTGGGGGCCTCAGAGTGTGCGTTGGGGTAACTGCTGGAGTCTAGCCAGCTGAAACTGCATATCTTGCCATAGAGAACACTGTCTGGCAAGCTTTCCCACTGCTTGTCCAGCTAAGACCACCCAGAGAGAGAGCACATTCCATTCCAAAAATCTCTCTCTGGGATTTCCATGTGTAGGTGGGATGCATGGGATTCTTAGTTTTCTTTGGAGATTCTTAAACATGGTGATGGGTTTCTGAATGTATCAGACACCCGGCCCACCACAAAAAAAATTTGTAGAGGTTGCTTTGAGACGTGAAAGGCGTTGAATAAAGGTAAATTGTATAGCGACTTGTTTTCTTTCCCCCCCACCCACCACCCACTTACCCCTCTCTCCCCATGTTCACCCCCCTCCCCTGTGTTTGTCTCTGGACCAGCTGGGACTGTGGCCCAGATGATGGGACTGCCAATCCGACTAGTCACAGTGGTCAATGAGAATGACATTGTCCACAGGACTGTCCAGAATGGAGACTACTCACTGGCGAAGACCACCAAGGCTTCATTAGCTCCAGCCATTGACATCCAGGTTTGTTTCAGCTTCACATTGCCCGAGGCTCACGGCCTCAGAGGGGGGATCAATTCACAGCAATATTAATAATGACAACTCTTGTCAATTATTCACAAATATTAATGAGGAATGCTATTAATAATGACAACAACAACAAATTACATTTGTACATTACTTTAATGTTGGGAGGACGTCCCAAGGCGCTGGATAGTCAGGGATTTGGATCCGAGCAGGGGTTGAGATCAGGAGGGGTGGACGGCAGCGAGTGTAGGAGGGTGACCGAAGGCGTGGTTGAAGAGGAGGGACTTAAAACATGCCTTGAAGGAGGCAAGAGAGGGAGCGAGGTGAAGAGACTGTGAAATGGAGTTCCAAAAGGTGGGTGCAAAGAGCCCGATGGTGGGGTGGGCCAGACGGGGAACATCGAGCAGGCTGGAGCCTGTGGAGCGGAGGGAGCAGACAGGTCTATATAGAGCTAGCAGGTCACAGAGGTAGGGAGGAGCAAGGCCATGGTGGGCTTTGAAGGCCAGGACGAGGATTTTGAATTCTATCCTCTGGGAGATGGGGTGCCAGTGGAGTCTGATGACGATAGGGATGATAGGGTCACGGAGAGGACACAAGCTGCAGAGTTCTGAATGATCTGCAGCTTGTGGAGGGAAGAGATGGGAAGAATCCTCATTATTAAGGAATATTAATAGTAATCCTCATTAATATTCCTTAATAATCCTTATTAATTGTAATCCTCGTTATTCTAAATGTTAATCCTTAATAATATTTATTTTTAATAATTCTTAATAGCAATCCAAATAATAATAATCTTTCATAATTATTATAGATGGCAATCCTTAAAGATAATTAATTTAATTGCTGGATGTTACTGTAGGTAAATTGGCTGGCACGTTCAACTGCAGGTATATAGTGTGTAGATATATACATCTACACACACTATGTATATATATATATAATAAATATCCTGCATTTGATATAGTTCCTTATCACATTGTTGAGGTGTCTCAAAGCACTTCACAGGATTTTACTGTGAAGTGTAGTGTAGTGTAGTGATTGTGCATTTTGTAAGTGAATGAGGCAGTTAATTTGCACATGGCAACATCCCACAAACAGCCATGAAGTGAGTGACCAGTTTTACTTGGAAGATTGATGGCCAGAACACCAGGAGAGAGAAAAACTCCCAACTCATTTGAAGAGGCACCAAGGGATCTTTAGCGTCCACCTGAACAGGCACTGACGGGACCTCAATTTAATATTTCATCCAACACAGGCACTGTACAGAGTATCCTTTCCACATACTAAATAAAATTAGTCACTCACAATGGCTGTTTGTGGGACACTGCTGTGGGCAACTGCCTGCCCCATTTCTCCCAAAAAACACACAGTCACTGCACTTTATGGTACATCCTGCGATAGGCCCTTTAACACCATTGAAAGGGAAAAACTTGCTCTCTTTCTCCAGGAGCCCTACAACCTGGAGAGAATTTTCTGGCTGTTTTCTGGGATGGACTCGAGCCAGATAAAAGGGATGATGGAGGAGTTCCAGAGACTGGGAAGAGTGGAGGTGCCGGACACACTGCACAGAAAGGTCTGTAGTTTCCCTCCCCTCACACACTCCCCCACCCTCCGCATCCGTGCTGTCAGAATTCAGTACCTGCAAGTGATCGAAAGCTTGGTCAAAACAGGACGTTTTCAAGATGGGGATGGGTGGAGGGAGGGAGGAGGAGGGATGGAGTTCCAGCCAACGGGGGCAGAATGGCTGAATGCTCGTCCATCAATGGTCGGGTAGACTGGAGGGAATGGACGGGTATGAACATGAGGACGAGAATCTTGAATTAATTCCACTGCGGGGGATGGTGAGCACAGCAGGGCCGAGTGAAGATGGGAGGTTGGGGATGGGGACACTGGGAGAAGGGTGATAGGCAGAGAGCTGCTGCAGAGTCAACTACATTTGATACCACAACTTATCATGTCGTCAAGATGTGGCAAAGCGCTTCACAAAGTTTACTGTATGGTATTGTGACTGGGTATGTTTTATAAAAATAATAATAATGCTTGCATTTGATATAGCGTCTTATCACATAGTTGGGATTTCTCAAAGCGCTTCACAAAATATATTGATATTCATATATATTCATATTTGTGGGGTGACTGTGTGTGTTTTGTGGGGTGACTGTGTGTGTGTGAGCAACAAGGTCTGGTGAACAGAGCGTTGCAATGATCAAGCCTGAGAACGTGATGAAGGTGTGAATGAGGCCGCTCAGAGGTGGGAGGAGGAGAAGCTGGTGATGGAGGCAGGAGTTGTTATGAAGCATGGGTTATAAGCAGTGGTAAGGTTGACCCATTGAGTCTCTCATCTGCCCAGATGTTAGCAGCCCTTGTCTCGTCCTCTGTGACTGATGCTGACATTACACAGACCATGGTGCGTTGCTGGGAGGAAAACCACTATCTGCTATGTCCTCACTCTGCTGTCGCTATCACTCATCACTATCGTCAGGTCGACCTCGGAAACAACAGGTGCTGAGATTATGGGGGTGTGTGGGTGGGTGGGTGTGGGTTGGTGTGTGTGAGGGTGGGTGGGTGGGGGTCGGATTGGCAATATGGAAATTTGTCACTGCTGCGGAGAGGAGCACATTCTCCTTTTGAACTGTGGCCAGATTTTAATGAGTGTTTGATTCCTGTCCACATCTTCGTCTGAGACCACTGCTCTGTGTAATCAGAATTCAACAACAACAAAAACTTGGATTTGTATAGCGCCATGAGGGTGAGCATCTTGAAGTCAATCCTCTCTGGGATAGGGAGCCAGTGCAGTCTGGCAAGGACTGGGGTGACCGGGGAGCGGAGTTTCATGGGCGGCAGAGTTCTGAATGAGTTGGATTTTATGGATGGTGGTGGATGGGAGACCGGCGAGGAGGGCCGGTCCACCTCAGGTCCACCTCAGTGGTTTCAGGGTGAGGGAAATAAAAGCCTGGACCTCCCCACTCTCCCCACCCCGGTGACTGGCGGGACAACCCATCAGCCAACGAAGAACCAACCCTTATCCACGCTTTCGGAACATCCTGGCTTGACTGCACTAACTTCCTGCTCGCCAGACTTCCCAACTCTTCCCTCCGTAAGATGGAGATTATTCGGAACTCTGCAGCTCGTGTCCTCTCCCAGACTAAGCTCCATTAACCCACCCTCACCCAACTCCACTGGATTGAGTTTTAAATCCTCGTCCTTGCCTTCAAAGTCTTCCATTGTCTTGCTCCTCCCTATATCTGTGACTTTCTTTAACCCTACCAACCTGTCCTCTCCCTCTGCTTGGCAGACACTGGCCTGCTCCACACCCCCTTCCTTGCCCGCACTATCATCGACGATTCGACCTTTAGTCCTTTCTGCCCCCATCCTTTAGAACTCCATCCCAGAGCGCCTCCGCCTCACCTCCTCCCTTACTTCCTCCAAGTCCTGTCTCAAGACTTCCTCTTCGACTGTACATTCGGCATCTTCCCACCCCCACCCCTCTTGCCCTCCACCCAGCTCTTACCCCAGACAGCAGCTCAGGTGCAAACCCTTCACTGTCCAGAGTCTTGAGATGGCCTCCTGATGTGAAAAGCGTCGTATAAATGCAATTTGTTGTGTTGTTGTCATTGATAAACAAAGCGAGCCCTTTCAAGAATAAATTAGATAGATTTCTGTTAGGAAATAATATCTTATTCCAGTATATAGTTTGGGACTATATAGCAAGTGACTGCCAGGATGGTGGAATGTGAACTGGATGGACCTTGGTCTTCATTCATCTTACAAATTCTTATGTTCTTCCTTTGGGCGCTCACTCTCTCGGTTTCTCTGGGGAACAGGGTCCACAGGTGTTGCCTGGCAACGGCTTCTGCTGACAAGTTCCAGGAGGCAGTGCTGAAAGCTGGTCTCACCCCCGAGATCCCACCCGCCATCCGTGCTCTGGAAACCATGGAGACCCGCTACGCCACAATGAAGAGGGGAGAGGACTGGGAGCAGATGCTTCGTGCCACGGTAGAGGAGATTACAGCACTGAGAAACCACTGACTTAATACTGAGCTTCGATAAAGCACAAATTTTATTGTGAAATGTCACCAGTGATAAACAGTAACAATAGTAATTATTAAAAACACTAATAAATAATAGTAACAGTAACAATATTAATAATAGTCCTCCCGACGTGAAAGACGCTCTATAAATGTAATTTTGTTGTTGTTGTAGCAATAATAATAGTAATCATAATGACAAAAAATAACAATAATAGTAATTATAATAATGAAAAGAATGATAAATAATAACAGTAAGAGTAGGAATAATAATAAATAATAGCAGCAGTAACAATAGTAATAGTAGTTATAATAATAGCATTTATAAAATAACAACAATGACTCAACTGGCCTTTATAGAGTGCCCTTCGCATAGGATAATGCCTTTGAGTGCTTTATAAATGCAAAATGCAGATCAAGAGAGTGGGATTGTGAAAAGAAAGAAATTGTGAAAAAAGATTAGGAATAAAAATATCAGTTTAAAAACAATTCTAAGCACTCCTAGTGGGTGAGACAGAGAGGGACACACACACACACAACGGAAATTCCCACCAATGAACACAATGCTGGATTGTTGTTTAACGCCAGGTCTATCCCACACCAGCTGCACCCAGCAGCTCAGTCTGACAAGCACGTGGCAACGATCCAGAGTGTAACACAAAGCCATCTCACAGAACCCTTCTCTCCTTTCCTCTGTGGCTAGGACCACCCACTGGTGGAAACGGTGGTCCTTGCTGTTCCCTCTCTCCGCCAAGCAGCTCCAGTCTCAACCTCCTCCCCCCTTCACCATTGCCTGCCTTGGAGTCTACAAGCCTTAGTTCTTGACAACCTGAGCCAACATGCATCCGAAGGCACATGTCTCTAAGAGGTTCTTTCTTTCCCTCCCTGTCTGTTATATAATTGTGGAGTCCTTTAGTGTAGTGGTTTGAGCACTCGACTCGCAAGCAAGAGGACAAGGGTTTGATTCCCGGGCGAGGAGAAACCTTAGGCAAGATTCCTTACTCTACACGCTACTTACTGCTTATCCAGCAGTAAGTAGGAACCGGGTTGTTAGTCGATTAGTGGATCGCTTTCGGGTAGTAATAATCCCATCCCTCCAAAAATGTGGTCATTCAATCCACAACTGTTTGTGGGACAACAATAACAACAAAATCACATTTGTAAAGCGCCTTTCAAGTCGGGAAGACGTCCCAATGTTGAACAGTTGGGATCAGGACCCGAGCGTGGGGGTGGGGGAGCAGGGTTGAGGTGAGGGAGGACAGAGAGGTAGGAGGACAGCTGAAGATCAAAAAAGCAGGGTCTTGAGTCATGCCTTGAAGGAAGGAAGGGAGGGAGCAAGGCAAAGAGATTGTGCTAGGTGTTCCACAATCTACATTTTGTGGGCGAAACTCAGCAGCTAGAATCTAGAGTCAGAGTTTGAAACAAAGTTAGAGACTGAGATATGCAGTCAATCCACTTTACAGTATGTTTATGAAGCGCTTTGTGACATCTCAACCACGTGATAAGGCGCTAGACCAAAGCAAGGATTATATTATAATAAGTGACTGACTGATTTTACCTGGAGAGTTGTCGGCCAGGACACCGGGGAAGAAACTGTTCTCTTTCCCTTCCTTGATACAGTGAGTGGAGTGTCAGACCACACCAAAACCCCTCTACCTCTCCATCCCTCCACCCGCCTGCCCCGAGACTTCAATCAACCGCCTTCTGACCCAAAAGTCAGACAGCTACCTACCAACTGAGCCAGGCTGACACATGGCATATGAAACATGTTGAGTTTTTGAAACAATTTGCATAAATGCAAGACAGGAAACTTTTGTTAATGAAGACTTCTTAAGTGAGTGAGTGTGTGGGGAGGACGTTTTGATTTTAACAGAATAAGCGAGCAGTAGCAGTCGTCTAACAAAGAGCTTTTAATATTGTATAAAATGCAAGGATTATTGTTAATATTGTCACGCTGTCTATCTGTCTGTAGTGATTAGCAAGTCTGAGCGCTGCCTTATTAAACTGTAACGGACCTGAGATGCGTCTGTCTGTATTGTCAAGCTAAGGATACATCTGCCTCAACAATCAACTGATAATATCTAGGAAATATTTTTCTAAAAGCCAGGAAATCTGCACAAAGTCTATAATGACTGAGAATTGCAGTGGGGAAATCACCTCAGCTAATTTTGAATCACAAAATATATTATTCCTCATATTTGACATACGGTAGTGGCTTTGAACAAAAAAAACAATAACAACTTACATTTCTATAGCGCCTCTCACGCAGGGAGCCTCCTAGAGCGCTTGATAGTGTTGGAACATGACATCGAGCTGTTGGAAGAGGGGAGGTGACCGTAAGCAAGGTCGAATAGGAAGGTCTTCAGGCGCGACCTGAAGATGGGGAAGGAAGGAGCAAGGTGAAAGGATAGAGGAAAAGAGTTCTGGCACTTTAACGCAAGCAGCACATCTCAAAACGCTTTATGGGATTTTTACTGTGAAGTGCAGTGGTTGTGTTTTGTGGGCGAACACGGCAGCCGATTTGTGCAAGGGACAACCCACAAGCAGCCATGAAGTGAGTGACCAATTGTAGCCGAGGGAATTGCAGACCAGGACACCGGGAGAGAAAAAAATCTTCTCTTTTCCTATAGCGCCTTGGAATTTTTAACATACATCTGAACATGGCACATACAGAACCTTAGTTTAATGTCTCACCTGAAGGACGACACAAAGCAGCCCTTAGACCCCCAACCTCTGACTCAGAGAGGTAAGAGCGCTACCTACTGAGCCAGGCTGCTACCTTGTGAAATCCTGTAGCAAATTGATTGGAGCACTCACCTCGCAAGCGAGAGGACCCGGTTTGATTCCCAGGAGGGCAAAACATTAGACAAATTTCCTTACTCCACCGCCTCCGTTTACCTAGCAATAAGTAGAAACCTGGCTGTTAGTCGATTGGAGGATCGCTTTCTGGGGGTAATAATCCCTTTAAAATAATGGTTACACAATCTACAACTGTGTGTTGGACACTGCTGTGCGTGATTGGCTACTGAGCTTCACCCACAAAATACAGAGTCAATCCAGTCTACATTATATTGCCTTCGATCACCTGCTTCCCCCCTGCCCTCCACCCTCCCTGATCCCAATCCCGAGCTCGGGTCCGTAATGCTGCCTGTCCAGTGCCTTGGGATGTCCTCCTGACGTGAAAGGTGCTAAACAAATTTAATTTTGTAGTTGTTGTTATATTCTGTGAAGCTTTGAGATATCTCAATGACCATATCAAATGCAAGAATTGTTGTTATTATAAAGAAATAAAAGCCCCTTTTTCACATTGAGCGAAAGACTGAGTGAAGAATCCTATTAAGCATCAGTCCCTGGACAGGCAGTATTACGGACCCAAGCTGGGGATTGGGATCAGGGAGGGTGGAGAGCAGGGGGAAAGCAGGGTGATCGAAGGCAATATAATGTAGAATGAATTGACTCTGTATTTTGTGGGTGAACCCCAGGTGCCCTGAGTCAATGTATGTCCGTGCTTCCCTGAGCGACCATCGGGTTTCCACACAGATACAATGGGCCTGGCATTGAACAGTCAATACCATGGGGTTTGAAGGGTTAAAAGCAAAAAGCTCCCCCTAACGCAGCTAAGAGTGGATTTGTAAAGGACACAGGTGAAGAAGGATGGACATCGCTTCCGGGAATTAAATCCCTGCTTTATTAATCCCTGACAACTCCTTATCTGCTTCCTGTGTTGATCTGATAAAGGCCTTTGTACTTTCCTGCACTAATCTGGGGTGGAGGGAAGAAAGAGACAAGAATCTGGAGAGGCTTTTTTTTGATGTGCAACGGCTGCTTGTGATAAATACACACTCTATTCTTGGGGACGCTATTCGTGTGTCAGTCGCTAGACCTCTCGTCTCTCAGTCGGGAATTTGTCCAGGTTGACACTCATGCATTGGGGGTGCGCTGCATTGTCAGAGGTGCCACATTTTAGTTGAGACGTTAAACCGAGGTCCCCTCTGCCTGTTCAGGTGGACGTTAAAGATCCCATGGTGTGATTCAAAAAGAGAAGGGACTTTCTCTCTCCTGGGTTCTCTTGCCGACAATTCCACAAATAACATTTGTGTTTCCCTGTAAGGGTGGAGTTCGTGGAGTCCTGTAGCTCAGTGGTTAGAGCACTCCCCTCGCAAGCAAGAGACCTGGGTTCAATTCCCTGCAGGGCAAAATGTTGAGCAAGTTTCCTTACTCCACACGCCTCTGTTTACCTAGCAATAAGTAGCAGCCCTGTTGTTGGAAGATTGGCGGATCACTTTTCCGTGCATAATAATGTCTAAAAAAAATTTGGTCACTCAATCCACGACTGTTTGTGGGACACTGCTGTGTGCAAGTGGCTGCCGTGTTTCGCCCACATATATATAGTCAATTCACTTTATAGTATATTCTGTGAAGGGCTTTGAGAATTCTAGAAGACATGTTAAGGCGCTATATCAAATGTAAGTATTATTATTATTTGGTCATTCACTTCATGCTTGTTTGCTATTGGCTGCTGCGTTTCGCCCACAAGATACACAATCACTCCACTTTGTAGTATATCCTCCAAAGCCCTTGACTGTAAAGCGCTATACAAAATAATAATTAGGGCTTCTGATTTCCGGGGTTTATTAATTTGATTTTTTGTTGGGGGAGTGGTATTTGGGACCTTTTTTTAGCAATTTGAAAATGTTTATAAATCACATTTTTACGGGACTTTCATTAATGTACTGAGCTAACGAGTACAGTAAGAGAGAAAATCTAGGAGCTGAGTAGCCAATTTCGGGGGGGGTTCCAGTGTTTATCAGCCCACAAAATATACAGTCAATTCACTTTACAGTATATTCTGTGAAGCGCTTTGGGATATCTCGCCTTGCAAGCGAGACATCTGGGTTCAATTCCAGGCAGGGCGAAACCTTGGGCAAGTTTCCTTACTCCACACGCCTAATAATAATCCCTCCAAAAAACAAAACAATCATAAAAAATTGTTCATTTTCAACCCATGTCTCTTTTTTGGACACTGCTGTGCACAATTGGCTGCCACGTTTTGCCCACAAATTCACTTTACAGTCTATTCTGTGAAGCGCTTTGAGAC